CGCTGCCTGGGTTTCAATTCCGGCGGCCTTCGGTAGCCTCCTCCTGTCTCCTGCCGCTGCTGAACTTCCGCTGGACCATTTGCGCCGCCTTCCGGGCACGACGGAGTGGGCACCATTGACACTTGGCGAATCGCGCCCTCCTGGAGCGGCTGCGGTTTGCTTTCGGCTGTCCTAAGAACATCGTTCTTCAATTTCATCATGTCCATGAATCCGTTCTTGATTTTCTCCCGCAAGGCCTGGCTCACTCCCAACTCTTGCGATGCCCGATATGTATGGGCCGCTTGTGCCAGAGCTGCGTTCATCGCAGACTCCGCCGCTGTATCCGTGTTCCGTGTTCAGCTTTTGTAGTCCCGTCTGCTCCGGAACCAGAAGTCGATCCTGCGCCTCGACAATTGCCTTGAAATCCAGGACCCTGGGCGACCGATGGTGCTCCAGATCCGCCGGTTGATCCCTAATCCGATCCACCGCACTACCGGCTACCGGCGTTCTGGGTAAACCCCCAGACAGCGATATCCGCGGCAACCCAGCAGCACCCTCTACATCCGTGGACCAGACATCGTCCTTGTCGTCGCCAGGGGGACCCATCGACCTGAGCTGGTGGCCGTGCCTATCGCTGACGGACATACTTCCCAAGAATTTTTAAATAAATACGTAATGACTACTAATACTATAATAAATATGATAAATAAATAAATAAATAAGACAACAAATAAATACAAAAATAAATAATATAATAAATATCAAAATAAATACGAAAATAACTAATAGCAAAAATCAATAACAATGAACAAATCTTCCTCCCTTCCTATTTTCTTTTCTTTTCCTTACAGCTGGACCTGGGCAGATGGAAGTGACCGTCGCCGGTGGGCTTCCGACCTAACTCGTCTTGCGCTTTCTCCAAAACTCCTATTTTCCGTCACCGCCTAGCCGTTCGTCAACTGGACTAGCTATCACCTGTGGTGATAGCCGCCAGTTAAGGACATCGGCTCGGTTTGGCTCCTGTTGGCTTTTCTTTCCCGCCCTCTTTTTCTATTTTACATCGAGCCAACCGTGCAACGGGTCACGATTACGCAATTAAGTTTACAACCGACATAAAATTAGAAATCCAGGACCCAACATCCTAACAAAAAAACATTTCAAATAAATAAATCACAAAATACAAGCTTACTACTCTATCACAGAAATTATCACAGATTTTCTTCAGTGCATCCCGTGATGCAAATCTTGGTTTGCTCCAAGATGCCATCAGCGGTTCACTGGTAAACCTGTGGCCAGGAGCAAATCGTCGGCAATGTCGCCGACCAGCCTCCCGTTCTACTTCCAACTTCCCTACACAGCTGACTTCCCCGTCACCACTCCCTAGCAATTGCAATCTATGTTGCAAGCCATAGGTCGTGATGGCGGCGGCGTCAGGGTCATAAATGGGCGAGACGTCGTCGCCTCGACAATTTATTTTGTTTAAATTGGGCGCCAATATGTTACGAACTGCTTTTTTTTGGTGGCAGTGCCGCTAGCTCAGTCTTTTCTCAAGGCAGAGTACCCCTAATGCCACAGCTCGCAACATAAATATCGATAACTTCACGGTCTCACATTACTAATCGGTTATCACTAATGACAAAAAAAAACGTAATCAAAGCAAAAATCTACATATATTGACGGGAAAATGGATTACATTTGGTGGCTATCGGTGACCTAGCCAAGCGCTCCCACCCAACCATGGGTGCCCTCGAGGCGCTGCAGGGCGCCACCCATTCTCTGTCGGCAGGAGCCCCCTCCTCGCGACTACGACGGTTCCATCTCCCCCACTGGGAAAGCTTACTCACACATTGTGGGTATTACAAAGGTTTAATAAATATCGTAAGTACAATTGTTTATATACATGCTCCTCTTAACAGATCTATCCTTCCTCAGCCTTTAAGACCTAAACCTGGCCGCCGTCTCGGATATTTACGCGGTCAAAGCAGAGGATTTGTTTTGGCTGGAAAAGCGTACAGGCGCCGCGGAAACTATGCTCTACCAGTCATGTATTGGTAGAGCTCGCATGGAAACGCGGCCCTCAAAGGAACATGCGCGATGCGCGTGTGTATGGTCACCTAATTCTGAGGAGCTCAAGGGGAAAAGAAGGGACAGGCCAAAAAGGTACGTAACTGCACTGTAACTAATGCTCGCGACCTTTTTAATTTTAGGCAAACAACGAGGACAAATAAGGCTCTCGAGTCTAACTCCGGATAAATTCACAAACAGGGAAGTAAATATCAAAATATATAATCAAGGTACACGTGTATTCAAATTTTCCTAAATTTCCGGATAAATTCACAAACAGGGAAGTAAATATCAATATATATAATCAAGGTACACGTGTATTCAAATTTTCCTAAATTTCAGCCACTGTTGGGCCGGGCCTGGAGGCGATGATAGCCCGGGCTGATGACTTCCAGCCGGAGGCCAGCAGCGATACAGGTCTCCAGGAAAGAAAACTGGCGCTCTCCGGTGAGTTATGCAAGGGCAGTCTGAGGTTCGGCCGCCCGACAAAATGGCGGTACCTCTCAACGCCGCGATGCGACGGCTGGAAGTCCCCGAGATGAGGTGGACGCGGTACACCGGAACGGACTCACCGGGAAATGTTTGATGTCGTCGGCGTCGACTGCGAAGACTGCTTTTCTGGGTGGTCGTCGGTACGGGTCGAACGGCCACCGGTTGCTGGGCAGCCAAGTCGGGCTGGTAGGTATGGCGAAGTCGCGCAAATGTCAGTAGAACTCCAAATAAATATTCCGGGGCCCTTTGTGTTGGGACCCCGGCTGCCTTTATAAATGATAAATATTAAATACCGAACTACTGTATAACTTTAACATAACTCACTATTTAATTTTAAGCACAAAGAAAATTTATAGGATCACTTCTAGCTGCATCTGCCTTGGTTGTTGGACAGTATGGCCGCGACTATCTCGATATCTGCTGATCATCGTTCATACCCCCCGCCATATTACATGGCCTCTCTCAAAATTGGGTCATTGGATACATGGGTCCATTTAAAGTAATCCCAAAGCGAACCGGGATTAATCTTCAAATGGCCAGATCGCCCGCCAGACTCATCCCGCTGCTGCAGCTATCGCCCTATCGACGTAACCTATCGATAACGTCGCTCCCATTCGACTCCAACTGCAACATTAACCAAAGATTTCGAGAGTCGCTGCCTGGAGTTTCAGCAGAACGATGAAAATAAATGGTAGCTTTGGAGATACGATGGGACTCAACACGGCACTGATACCATCCTGCAGTTCGATCGGCGCCTAACGCGGGGCCCACGCATGACGGGAAGTATTGCAGATGTGATCGCGATGCTCGTATACTTTAATTTCTCCTTTCAGGTCACAACCAGACTGCGGCCTTGGAGGTCCAAGTATGCATTGCTACCGACGGATTTAACCACCCTGGCTTTAATGAACTTGCGAGCAGACTTGGCGTTAAAAGATTTGTTGAAATCACTCAGCACAAAGTTGCGGCGGAAGACTTCTTGGCCTGGCTTGGCGAGCAGCGTACGGGCTCGCTTATCGTAGCGTTGCCGGCTTGTCTGGTATGCACCCTCCAGTTGCTTCTGCACCTTGGCGTGGATAACCCGAAGCTTGTCCTTGGTCTGCATTCCGGCCATTTCATGGTCGACCAGAGACCTGAGTCGTACGGGAGTCCTCATGTGCTGTATACCGAAGCCATCGATCATCTCCTCAAACGCCTTGGATACGAACTGTTTGCCGTTGTCAGAATGTATCGTCTCAGGCACCCCGAACTTGTAAAATACCTCGTTTACCAGGAAATTTACAACGTTCGACGCCGTCGACTCCTTCATCGCCTTTAAGAAGGTGTACTTGGAGAAGTGGTCCACCACGATGAATATCCAGGCGTGTCGGATACTTGCCCAGGAAATCGATGTACAGTTTCTGGAATGGCCTCCCCGTCTCTACCCTTCTTCCGATTCCGACCTGCATCCGGAAGTTTGGCGCTTTGGATTCCTTGCACACCTCGCGACCCCGGACGTATTCCCGTACCTGGATAGTCATCCCTGGCCAATAGAACTGGGGACGCAGATTCCGTTGGATCTATCCGGACTTCCTCGGTGATGCGGGATAGAGTGTCAGCGACTACGTTCTCGCTGCCTTTGCGATGTTCAATGTTGAAATCGTAGCCCTGCAGCTGGAGAGACCACCTTGCGAGTCGTCTGGACAGATCCTTCATTGTCATCAACCACTTAAGGCTGGCGTGATCAGTAATGCATGTGAAGGGCATCCCTTCCACATACGGTCTGAACTTCCAAATGGCTAGGATGGCCGCCAGACACTCCTTTTCCGTAACTGAGTAATTCACCTGGTGTTTGTTCATCTTGGCCGAGAAGAACGCGATGGGCTGCTCGTCTCCGTTCTGGTTCCGCTGAAACAATACCGCGCCGACGCCAACGTGGGATGCGTCGCACTGGATGTAGAAATGCTTCTTGAAATCCGCATGAACCAAGACCGGCGCGCTCGTCAAGGCCAACTTCAGGTCATCCACTGCCTGGGTGGCGCTGGGACTTAAGGAAAACTTTGTGTTTCCAGCCTTCTTCAAGGACTCGGAGAGTGCTGCGGCTAGCGTAGCGAAGTTCTTGACGAACCGTCGATACCATCCCGCTGTGCCGAGGAAGGCACGGGTAAGGCATCTTCTGGATTGCCGAAACACGTCCAGGATCCATCCGCAGCAGTCCACCTCCGACTATAAACCCTAGCTAAGTCAAAGATTTGAAACAAAACTTCGACTTCTTTAACCCTATGGTCAATCCGGCTGATTTCAGACTGTGGGCTACTCGACGCAAGTATTTCAAGTGCGTCTGAAAATCTGGAGCGTTAGATCTGAGCTCCGCTGGTATCACCCGATCCATGAGCCGCACCAAGCGTTGTGCCGCGTTGCACAGCCCGAATGGCCGTGAACGCAGTATACTCCTTGCTTCTCTCATCCAGTTCAATCTGGAGATGTAGTGCGTCTGATCTACCCTGGAGAGGATTCCTTCTATACTGGGCAGAGGGTACGCATCCTTAATAGTCGAGGCGTTCAACTTCGGGCATCCACGCAGAACCGGTCTTTCCCTGGCTTCGACACCTCTGTTGTGCGATTGCTCCACGGGCTTTTGCTCTCCTCGATAACACCCAGCTCCAACATCTTGTCGATTTCGTCTTCGACCACCTTCTGCTTCACCGGAGACATCGAATACGGACGATCCTTAAAGACACGAGCTCCTTCCGTCAGCTCAATAGAATGCCTCTTCATGCTGGTGACTCCGAGGCCGTCCCTTTAAAAGGTAAGGAACTCCTCCTTGACCTTGCCTAACGCCAGCTTTTCCTCCGCAGAAAGGGTCCAGGATTCGGGTTCCTCCCTTACCTCGTCTTCATCTTCCTGGTCGGCATAGTGCTCCATCTGGCTGGCATGGATTACCTGCGCTGCCTTGACGCCTCTCGTTGCCGGCTTCCCCACGTCGGCTGGAGCTAGTCCGAAGGTCGCCAGAAGTCGACCCCGAAGTACGCAGTTTGGTCCAGGTATGGACACAGGTAGAACGTGACTGGCTTTGTACCTCCCAGGCAGCTCCAAGCGTCCGATGATGGATCGATCCTCACCAGAAGCTGTCCGGACTACCGAAAAATACGGTTGGACGGTATCTTCTAGCGTTTCCACGAGCTCTCGACAGCCTTTGGCGAAGGGTCTAGGATCGGCGGAATCTATGTGTTTAACGGCCGCCACCACCTCTCGTCGTCTGGATCTCCTCATCCTGAAGCACTCCCTTGCCTTCTGGACTCTCCGTGAGACCAGACGCATGCCGCTCAGCTGATGCTCCGCAAAGATCCGGTTCCGTGCCTCCATATAACGGCGAAGCCTCTCATCCTCCGCCAGGTATCTTAACAAATACTTTTGACTATCAGATGGACTATGTACATTCTTTTCTTCTTCTTTCTTCGGAACTACCTCGCGGGATTCCAACCTGGGCGAGTCCCTCCCGCTTTTGGACTACCCAGCCGACCGTTTTCCGCGCAATCGGGACATTTCGGAGAAATCACGCCCAGCTTGCCGCATCGTTGGCCATCGTCCTCGCCGCCGAAGGAGAGGTTCCAGCGGTCCACTCGGATCTAGCGGTTTCCGTTGCCGGCCCCCGCGTTGGCGTACAACCGCGGCTCGTCACGAAAATCCGCCGCCCTTCGGTCCTCGATGCGCCACGGCCGTGCGTGGCGATCACTCCTTCCTGCCGGATGATACTCCGGTTCCTGGCTCAGGCTGCTGTCGATCCCTGGAGAGTCGTTCACCTGCGGTCGAGGTCGCTGCCTGGGTTTCAATTCCGGCGGCCTTCGGTAGCCTCCTCCTGTCTCCTGCCGCTGCTGAACTTCCGCTGGACCATTTGCGCCGCCTTCCGGGCACGACGGAGTGGGCACCATTGACACTTGGCGAATCGCGCCCTCCTGGAGCGGCTGCGGTTTGCTTTCGGCTGTCCTAAGAACATCGTTCTTCAATTTCATCATGTCCATGAATCCGTTCTTGATTTTCTCCCGCAAGGCCTGGCTCACTCCCAACTCTTGCGATGCCCGATATGTATGGGCCGCTTGTGCCAGAGCTGCGTTCATCGCAGACTCCGCCGCTGTATCCGTGTTCCGTGTTCAGCTTTTGTAGTCCCGTCTGCTCCGGAACCAGAAGTCGATCCTGCGCCTCGACAATTGCCTTGAAATCCAGGACCCTGGGCGACCGATGGTGCTCCAGATCCGCCGGTTGATCCCTAATCCGATCCACCGCACTACCGGCTACCGGCGTTCTGGGTAAACCCCCAGACAGCGATATCCGCGGCAACCCAGCAGCACCCTCTACATCCGTGGACCAGACATCGTCCTTGTCGTCGCCAGGGGGACCCATCGACCTGAGCTGGTGGCCGTGCCAATCGCTGACGTCCTTACCCTCGGACATACTTCCCAAGAATTTTTAAATAAATACTTAATGACTACTAATACTATAATAAATATGATAAATAAATAAATAAATAAGACAACAAATAAATACAAAAATAAATAATATAATAAATATCAAAATAAATACGAAAATAACTAATAGCAAAAATCAATAACAATGAACAAATCTTCCTCCCTTCCTATTTTCTTTTCTTTTCCTTACAGCTGGACCTGGGCAGATGGAAGTGACCGTCGCCGGTGGGCTTCCGACCTAACTCGTCTTGCGCTTTCTCCAAAACTCCTATTTTCCGTCACCGCCTAGCCGTTCGTCAACTGGACTAGCTATCACCTGTGGTGATAGCCGCCAGTTAAGGACATCGGCTCGGTTTGGCTCCTGTTGGCTTTTCTTTCCCGCCCTCTTTTTCTATTTTACATCGAGCCAACCGTGCAACGGGTCACGATTACGCAATTAAGTTTACAACCGACATAAAATTAGAAATCCAGGACCCAACATCCTAACAAAAAAACATTTCAAATAAATAAATCACAAAATACAAGCTTACTACTCTATCACAGAAATTATCACAGATTTTCTTCAGTGCATCCCGTGATGCAAATCTTGGTTTGCTCCAAGATGCCATCACCGGTTCACTGGTAAACCTGTGGCCAGGAGCAAATCGTCGGCAATGTCGCCGACCAGCCTCCCGTTCTACTTCCAACTTCCCTACACAGCTGACTTCCCCGTCACCACTCCCTAGCAATTGCAATCTATGTTGCAAGCCATAGGTCGTGATGGCGGCGGCGTCAGGGTCATAAATGGGCGAGACGTCGTCGCCTCGACAATTTATTTTGTTTAAATTGGGCGCCAATATGTTACGAACTGCTTTTTTTTGGTGGCAGTGCCGCTAGCTCAGTCTTTTCTCAAGGCAGAGTACCCCTAATGCCACAGCTCGCAACATAAATATCGATAACTTCACGGTCTCACATTACTAATCGGTTATCACTAATGACAAAAAAAACGTAATCAAAGCAAAAATCTACAAATATTGACGGGAAAATGGATTACATTTGGTGGCTATCGGTGACCTAGCCAAGCGCTCCCACCCAACCATGGGTGCCCTCGAGGCGCTGCAGGGCACCACCCATTCTCTGTCGGCAGGAGCCCCCTCCTCGCGACTACGACGGTTCCATCTCCCCCACTGGGAAAGCTTACTCACACATTGTGGGTATTACAAAGGTTTAATAAATATCGTAAGTACAATTGTTTATATACATGCTCCTCTTAACAGATCTATCCTTCCTCAGCCTTTAAGACCTAAACCTGGCCGCCGTCTCGGATATTTACGCGGTCAAAGCAGAGGATTTGTTTTGGCTGGAAAAGCGTACAGGCGCCGCGGAAACTATGCTCTACCAGTCATGTATTGGTAGAGCTCGCATGGAAACGCGGCCCTCAAAGGAACATGAGCGATGCGCGTGTGTATGGTCACCTAATTCTGAGGAGCTCAAGGGGAAAAGAAGGGACAGGCCAAAAAGGTACGTAACTGCACTGTAACTAATGCTCGCGACCTTTTTAATTTTAGGCAAACAACGAGGACAAATAAGGCTCTCGAGTCTAACTCCGGATAAATTCACAAACAGGGAAGTAAATATCAATATATATAATCAAGGTACACGTGTATTCAAATTTTCCTAAATTTCAGCCACTGTTGGGCCGGGCCTGGAGGCGATGATAGCCCGGGCTGATGACTTCCAGCCGGAGGCCAGCAGCGATACAGGTCTCCAGGAAAGAAAACTGGCGCTCTCCGGTGAGTTATGCAAGGGCAGTCTGAGGTTCGGCCGCCCGACAAAATGGCGGTACCTCTCAACGCCGCGATGCGACGGCTGGAAGTCCCCGAGATGAGGTGGACGCGGTACACCGGAACGGACTCACCGGGAAATGTTTGATGTCGTCGGCGTCGACTGCGAAGACTGCTTTTCTGGGTGGTCGTCGGTACGGGTCGAACGGCCACCGGTTGCTGGGCAGCCAAGTCGGGCTGGTAGGTATGGCGAAGTCGCGCAAATGTCAGTAGAACTCCAAATAAATATTCCGGGGCCCTTTGTGTTGGGACCCCGGCTGCCTTTATAAATGATAAATATTAAATACCGAACTACTGTATACTTTAACATAACTCACTATTTAATTTTAAGCACAAAGAAAATTTATAGGATCACTTCTAGCTGCATCTGCCTTGGTTGTTGGACAGTATGGCCGCGACTATCTCGATATCTGCTGATCATCGTTCATACCCCCCGCCATATTACATGGCCTCTCTCAAAATTGGGTCATTGGATACATGGGTCCATTTAAAGTAATCCCAAAGCGAACCGGGATTAATCTTCAAATGGCCAGATCGCCCGCCAGACTCATCCAGCAGCTGCAGCTATCGCCCTATCGACGTAACCTATCGATAACGTCGCTCCCATTCGACTCCAACTGCAACATTAACCAAAGATTTCGAGAGTCGCTGCCTGGAGTTTCAGCAGAACGATGAAAATAAATGGTAGCTTTGGAGATACGATGGGACTTAACACGGCACTGATACCATCCTGCAGTTCGATCGGTGCCTAACGCGGGGCCCACGCATGACGGCAAGTATTGCAGATGTGATCGCGATGCTCGGTATACTTTAATTTCTCCTTTCAGGTCACAACCAGACTGCGGCCTTGGAGGTCCAAGTATGCATTGCTACCGACGGATTTAACCACCCTGGCTTTAATGAACTTGCGAGCAGACTTGGCGTTAAAAGATTTGTTGAAATCACTCAGCACAAAGTTGCGGCGGAAGACTTCTTGGCCTGGCTTGGCGAGCAGCGTACGGCTCGCTTATCGTAGCGTTGCCGGCTGTCTGGTATGCACCCTCCAGTTGCTTTCGCACCTTGGCGTGGATAACCCGAAGCTTGTCCTTGGTCTGCATTCCGGCCATTTCATGGTCGACCAGAGACCTGAGTCGTCTGGCTAGTTTGTAGCTGGAACCGTTGAGGAACATGTGATGGCCGAATACGGTGAAGAACGGCGCATCTCCTGTGCTGAGTGGAAAGTGTTTGGATGATCTTCGTCCAAGAAGCTGCGAATTGCGGCCAAGACGTTCCGGTTTACCCTTTCCGCGGCATGCTCTGTGGTGAGTATACGGGAGTCCTCATGTGCTGTATACCGAAGCCATCGATCATCTCCTCAAACGCCTTGGATACGAACTGTTTGCCGTTGTCAGAATGTATCGTCTCAGGCACCCCGAACTTGTAAAATACCTCGTTTACCAGGAAATTTACAACGTTCGACGCCGTCGACTCCTTCATCGCCTTTAAGAAGGTGTACTTGGAGAAGTGGTCCACCACGATGAATATCCAGGCGTGTCGGATACTTGCCCAGGAAATCGATGTACAGTTTCTGGAATGGCCTCCCCGTCTCTACCCTTCTTCCGATTCCGACCTGCATCCGGAAGTTTGGCGCTTTGGATTCCTTGCACACCTCGCGACCCCGGACGTATTCCCGTACCTGGATAGTCATCCCTGGCCAATAGAACTGGGGACGCAGATTCCGTTGGATCTATCCGGACTTCCTCGATGATGCGGGATAGAGTGTCAGCGACTACGTTCTCGCTGCCTTGCGATGTTCAATGTTGAAATCGTAGCCCTGCAGCTGGAGAGACCACCTTGCGAGTCGTCTGGACAGATCCTTCATTGTCATCAACCACTTAAGGATGGCGTGATCAGTAATGCATGTGAAGGGCATCCCTTCCACATACGGTCTGAACTTCCAAATGGCTAGGATGGCCGCCAGACACTCCTTTTCCGTAACCGAGTAATTCACCTGGTGTTTGTTCATCTTGGCCGAGAAGAACGCGATGGCTGCTCGTCTCCGTTCTGGTTCCGCTGAAACAATACCGCGCCGACGCCAACGTGGGATGCGTCGCACTGGATGTAGAAATGCTTCTTGAAATCCGCATGAACCAGGACCGGCGCGCTCGTTAAGGCCAACTTCAGGTCATCCACTGCCTGGGTGGCGCTGGACTTAAGGAAAACTTTGTGTTTCCAGCCTTCTTCAAGGACTCGGAGAGTGCTGCGGCTAGCGTAGCGAAGTTCTTGACGAACCGTCGATACCATCCCGCTGTGCCGAGGAAGGCACGGGTAAGCATCTTCTGGATTGCCGAAACACGTCCAGGATCCATCCGCAGCAGTCCACCTCGACTATAAACCCTAGCTAAGTCAAAGATTTGAAACAAAACTTCGACTTCTTTAACCCTATGGTCAATCCGGCTGATTCAGACTGTGGGCTACTCGACGCAAGTATTTCAAGTGCGTCTGAAAATCTGGAGCGTTAGATCTGAGCTCCGCTGGTATCACCCGATCCATGAGCCGCACCAAGCGTTGTGCCGCGTTGCACAGCCCGAATGGCCGTGAACGCAGTATACTCCTTGCTTCTCTCATCCAGTCAATCTGTCAAAACGCAAGCTTCAGGTCTACGCTGGAGATGTAGTGCGTCTGATCTATCCTGGAGAGGATTCCTTCTATACTGGGCAGAGGGTACGCATCCTTAATAGTCGAGGCGTTCAACTTCGGGCATCCACGCAGAACCGGTCTTTCCCTGGCTTCGACACCTCTGTTGTGCGATTGCTCCACGGGCTTTTGCTCTCCTCGATAACACCCAGCTCCAACATCTTGTCGATTTCGTCTTCGACCACCTTCTGCTTCACCGGAGACATCGAATACGGACGATCCTTAAAGACACGAGCTCCTTCCGTCAGCTCAATAGAATGCCTCTTCATGCTGGTGACTCCGAGGCCGTCCCTTTAAAAGGTAAGGAACTCCTCCTTGACCTTGCCTAACGCCAGCTTTCCTCCGCAGAAAGGGTCCAGGATTCGGGTTCCTCCCTTAGCTCGTCTTCATCTTCCTGGTCGCATAGTGCTCCATCTGGCTGGCATGGATTACCTGCGCTGCCTTGACGCCTCTCGTTGCCGGCTTCCCCACGTCGGCTGGAGCTAGTCCGAAGGTCGCCAGAAGTCGACCCCGAAGTACGCAGTTTGGTCCAGTATGGACACAGGTAGAACGTGACTGGCTTTGTACCTCCCAGGCAGCTCCAAGCGTCCGATGATGGATCGATCCTCACCAGAAGCTGTCCGGACTACCGAAAAATACGGTTGACGTATCTTCTAGCGTTTCCACGAGCTCTCGACAGCCTTTGGCGAAGGGTCTAGATCGGCGGAATCTATGTGTTTAACGGCCGCCACCACCTCTCGTCGTCTGGATCTCCTCATCCTGAACACTCCCTTGCCTTCTGGACTCTCCGTGAGACCAGACGCCATGCCGCTCAGCTGATGCTCCGCAAAGATCCGGTTCCCGTGCCTCCATATAACGGCGAAGCCTCTCATCCTCCGCCAGGTATCTTAACAAATACTTTTGACTATCAGATGGACTATGTACATTCTTTCTTCTTCTTTTCTTCGGAACTACTTCGCGGGATTCCAACCTGGGCGAGTCCCTCCCGCTTTTGGACTACCCAGCCGACCGTTTTCCGCGCAATCGGGACATTTCGGAGAAATCACGCCCAGCTTGCCGCATCGTTGGCCATCGTCCTCGCCGCCGAAGGAGAGTTCCAGCGGTCCACTCGGATCTAGCGGTTTCCGTTGCCGGCTCCCGCGTTGGCGTACAACCGCGGCTCGTCACGAAAATCCGCCGCCCTTCGGTCCTCGATGCGCCACGGCCGTGCGTGGCGATCACTCCTTCCTGCCGGATGATACTCCGGTTCCTGGCTCAGGCTGCTGTCGATCCCTGGAGAGTCGTTCACCTGCGGTCGAGGTCGCTGCCTGGGTTTCAATTCCGGCGGCCTTCGGCAGCCTCCTCCTGTCTCCTGCCGCTGCTGAACTTCCGCTGGACCATTTGCGCCGCCTTCCGGGCCACGGGCGGACGTGGGCACCATTGACACTTGGCGAATCGCGCCCTCCTGGAGCGGCTGCGGTTTGCTTTCGGCTGTCCTAAGAACATCGTTCTTCAATTTCATCATGTCCATGAATCCGTTCTTGATTTTCTCCCGCAAGGCCTGGCTCACTCCCAACTCTTGCGATGCCCGATATGTATGGGCCGCTTGTGCCAGAGCTGCGTTCATCGCAGACTCCGCCGCTGTATCCGTGTTCCGTGTTCAGCTTTTGTAGTCCCGTCTGCTCCGGAACCAGAAGTCGATCCTGCGCCTCGACAATTGCCTTGAAATCCAGGACCCTGGGGCGACCGATGGTGCTCCAGATCCGCCGGTTGATCCCTAATCCGATCCACCGCACTACCGGCTACCGGCGTTCTGGGTAAACCCCCAGACAGCGATATCCGCGGCAACCCAGCAGCACCCCTACATCCGTGGACCAGACATCGTCCTTGTCGTCGCCAGGGGACCCATCGACCTGAGCTGGTGGCCGTGCCTATCGCTGACGTCCTTACCCTCGGACATACTTCCCCAAGAATTTTTAAATAAATACTTAATGACTACTAATACTATATAAATATGATAAATAAATAAATAAATAAGACAACAAATAAATACAAAAATAAATAATATAATAAATATCAAAATAAATACGAAAATAACTAATAGCAAAAATCAATAACAATGAACAAATCTTCCTCCCTTCCTATTTCTTTTCTTTTCCTTACAGCTGGACCTGGGCAGATGGAAGTGACCGTCGCCGGTGGGCTTCCGACCTAACTCGTCTTGCGCTTTCTCCAAAACTCCTATTTTCCGTCACCGCCTAGCCGTTCGTCAACTGGACTAGCTATCACCTGTGGTGATAGCCGCCAGTTAAGGACATCGGCTCGGTTTGGCTCCTGTTGGCTTTTCTTTCCCGCCCTCTTTTTCTATTTTACATCGAGCCAACCGTGCAACGGGTCACGATTACGCAATTAAGTTTACAACCGACATAAAATTAGAAATCCAGGACCCAACATCCTAACAAAAAACATTTCAAATAAATAAATCACAAAATACAAGCTTACTACTCTATCACAGAAATTATCACAGATTTTCTTCAGTGAACCGGTGATGGCATCTTGGAGCAAACCAAGATTGCATCACGGATGATGCAAATCTTGGTTTGCTCCAAGATGCCATCACCGGTTCACTGGTAAACCTGTGGCCAGGAGCAAATCGTCGGCAATGTCGCCGACCAGCCTCCCGTTCTACTTCCAACTTCCCTACACAGCTGACTTCCCCGTCACCACTCCCTAGCAATTGCAATCTATGTTGCAAGCCATAGGTCGTGATGGCGGCGGCGTCAGGGTCATAAATGGGCGAAACGTCGTCGCCTCGACAATTTATTTTGTTTAAATTGGGCGCCAATATGTTACGAACTGCTTTTTTTTGGTGGCAGTGCCGCTAGCTCAGTCTTTTCTCAAGGCAGAGTACCCCTAATGCCACAGCTCGCAACATAAATATCGATAACTTCACGGTCTCACATTACTAATCGGTTATCACTAATGACAAAAAAAACGTAATCAAAGCAAAAATCTACAAATATTGACGGGAAAATGGATTACATTTGGTGGCTATCGGTGACCTAGCCAAGCGCTCCCACCCAACCATGGGTGCCCTCGAGGCGCTGCAGGGCACCACCCATTCTCTGTCGGCAGGAGCCCCCTCCTCGCGACTACGACGGTTCCATCTCCCCCACTGGGAAAGCTTACTCACACATTGTGGGTATTACAAAGGTTTAATAAATATCGTAAGTACAATTGTTTATATACATGCTCCTCTTAACAGATCTATCCTTCCTCAGCCTTTAAGACCTAAACCTGGCCGCCGTCTCGGATATTTACGCGGTCAAAGCAGAGGATTTGTTTTGGCTGGAATAGCGTACAGGCGCCGCGGAAACTATGCTCTACCAGTCATGTATTGGTAGAGCTCGCATGGAAACGCGGCCCTCAAAGGAACATGCGCGATGCGCGTGTGTATGGTCACCTAATTCTGAGGAGCTCAAGGGGAAAAGAAGGGACAGGCCAAAAAGGTACGTAACTGCACTGTAACTAATGCTCGCGACCTTTTTAATTTTAGGCAAACAACGAGGACAAATAAGGCTCTCGAGTCTAACTCCGGATAAATTCACAAACAGGGAAGTAAATATCAATATATATAATCAAGGTACACGTGTATTCAAATTTTCCTAAATTTCAGCCACTGTTGGGCCGGGCCTGGAGGCGATGATAGCCCGGGCTGATGACTTCCAGCCGGAGGCCAGCAGCGATACAGGTCTCCAGGAAAGAAAACTGGCGCTCTCCGGTGAGTTATGCAAGGGCAGTCTGAGGTTCGGCCGCCCGACAAAATGGCGGTACCTCTCAACGCCGCGATGCGACGGCTGGAAGTCCCCGAGATGAGGTGGACGCGGTACACCGGAACGGACTCACCGGGAAATGTTTGATGTCGTCGGCGTCGACTGCGAAGACTGCTTTTCTGGGTGGTCGTCGGTACGGGTCGAACGGCCACCGGTTGCTGGGCAGCCAAGTCGGGCTGGTAGGTATGGCGAAGTCGCGCAAATGTCAGTAGAACTCCAAATAAATATTCCGGGGCCCTTTGTGTTGGGACCCCGGCTGCCTTTATAAATGATAAATATTAAATACCGAACTACTGTATAACTTTAACATAACTCACTATTTAATTTTAAGCACAAAGAAAATTTATAGGATCACTTCTAGCTGCATCTGCCTTGGTTGTTGGACAGTATGGCCGCGACTATATCGATATCTGCTGATCATCGTTCATACCCCCCGCCATATTACATGGCCTCTCTCAAAATTGGGTCATTGGATACATGGGTCCATTTAAAGTAATCCCAAAGCGAACCGGGATTAATCTTCAAATGGCCAGATCGCCCGCCAGACTCATCCCGCTGCTGCAGCTATCGCCCTATCGACGTAACCTATCGATAACGTCGCTCCCATTCGACTCCAACTGCAACATTAACCAAAGATTTCGAGAGTCGCTGCCTGGAGTTTCAGCAGAACGATGAAAATAAATGGTAGCTTTGGAGATACGATGGGACTCAACACGGCACTGATACCATCCTGCAGTTCGATCGGCGCCTAACGCGGGGCCCACGCATGACGGGAAGTATTGCAGATGTGATCGCGATGCTCGTATACTTTAATTTCTCCTTTCAGGTCACAACCAGACTGCGGCCTTGGAGGTCCAAGTATGCATTGCTACCGACGGATTTAACCACCCTGGCTTTAATGAACTTGCGAGCAGACTTGGCGTTAAAAGATTTGTTGAAATCACTCAGCACAAAGTTGCGGCGGAAGACTTCTTGGCCTGGCTTGGCGAGCAGCGTACGGGCTCGCTTATCGTAGCGTTGCCGGCTTGTCTGGTATGCACCCTCCAGTTGCTTCTGCACCTTGGCGTGGATAACCCGAAGCTTGTCCTTGGTCTGCATTCCGGCCATTTCATGGTCGACCAGAGACCTGAGTCGTCTGGCTAGTTTGTAGCTGGAACCGTTGAGGAACATGTGATGGCCGAATACGGTGAAGAACGGCGCATCTCCTGTGGCTGAGTGGAAAGTGTTTTGGATGATCTTCGTCCAAGAAGCTGCGAATTGCGGCCAAGACGTTCCGGTTTACCCTTTCCGCGGCATTGCTCTGTGGTGAGTATACGGGAGTCCTCATGTGCTGTATACCGAAGCCATCGATCATCTCCTCAAACGCCTTGGATACGAACTGTTTGCCGTTGTCAGAATGTATCGTCTCAGGCACCCCGAACTTGTAAAATACCTCGTTTACCAGGAAATTTACAACGTTCGACGCCATCGCCTCCTTCATCGCCTTTAAGAAGGTGTACTTGGAGAAGTGGTCCACCACGATGAATATCCAGGCGTGTCGGATACTTGCCCAGGAAATCGATGTACAGTTTCTGGAATGGCCTCCCCGTCTCTACCCTTCTTCCGATTCCGACCTGCATCCGGAAGTTTGGCGCTTTGGATTCCTTGCACACCTCGCGACCCCGGACGTATTCCCGTACCTGGATAGTCATCCCTGGCCAATAGAACTGGGGACGCAGATTCCGTTGGATCTATCCGGACTTCCTCGAGTGTCAGCGACTACGTTCTCGCTGCCTTTGCGATGTTCAATGTGGAAATCGTAGCCCTGCAGCTGGAGAGACCACCTTGCGAGTCGTCTGGACAGATCCTTCATTGTCATCAACCACTTAAGGCTGGCGTGATCAGTAATGCATGTGAAGGGCATCCCTTCCACATACGGTCTGAACTTCCAAATGGCTAGGATGGCCGCCAGACACTCCTTTTCCGTAACCGAGTAATTCACCTGGTGTTTGTTCATCTTGGCCGAGAAGAACGCGATGGGCTGCTCGTCTCCGTTCTGGTTCCGCTGAAACAATACCGCGCCGACGCCAACGTGGGATGCTTCGCACTAGATGTAGAAATGCTTCTTGAAATCCGCATGAACCAGGACCGGCGCGCTCGTCAAGGCCAACTTCAGGTCATCCACTGCCTGGGTGGCGCTGGGACTTAAGGAAAACTTTGTGTTTCCAGCCTTCTTCAAGGACTCGGAGAGTGCTGGAAAACTTAAGGAAAACTTTGTGTTTCCAGCCTTCTTCAAGGACTCGGAGAGTGCTGCGGCTAGCGTAGCGAAGTTCTTGACGAACCGTCGATACCATCCCGCTGTGCCGAGGAAGGCACGGGTAAGGCATCTTCTGGATTGCCGAAACACGTCCAGGATCCATCCGCAGCAGTCCACCTCCGACTATAAGCCCTAGCTAAGTCAAAGATTTGAAACAAAACTTCGACTTCTTTAACCCTATGGTCAATCCGGCTGATTTCAGACTGTGGGCTACTCGACGCAAGTATTTCAAGGGCGTCTGAAAATCTGGAGCGTTAGATCTGAGCTCCGCTGGTATCACCCGATCCATGAGCCGCACCAAGCGTTGTGCCGCGTTGCACAGCCCGAATGGCCGTGAACGCAGTATACTCCTTGCTTCTCTCATCCAGTTCAATCTGCCAAAACGCAAGCTTCAGGTCTACGCTGGAGATGTAGTGCGTCTGATCTATCCTGGAGAGGATTCCTTCTATACTGGGCAGAGGGTACGCATCCTTAATAGTCGAGGCGTTCAACTTCGGGCATCCACGCAGAACCGGTCTTTCCCTGGCTTCGACACCTCTGTTGTGCGATTGCTCCACGGGCTTTTGCTCTCCTCGATAACACCCAGCTCCAACATCTTGTCGATTTCGACTAGCTATCACCTGTGGTGATAGCCGCCAGTTAAGGACATCGGCTCGGTTTGGCTCCTGTTGGCTTTTCTTTCCCGCCCTCTTTTTCTATTTTACATCGAGCCAACCGTGCAACGGGTCACGATTACGCAATTAAGTTTACAACCGACATAAAATTAGAAATCCAGGACCCAACATCCTAACAAAAAAACATTTCAAATAAATAAATCACAAAATACAAGCTTACTACTCTATCACAGAAATTATCACAGATTTTCTTCAGTGCATCCCGTGATGCAAATCTTGGTTTGCTCCAAGATGCCATCACCGGTTCACTGGTAAACCTGTGGCCTGGAGCAAATCGTCGGCAATGTCGCCGACCAGCCTCCCGTTCTACTTCCAACTTCCCTACACAGCTGACTTCCCCGTCACCACTCCCTAGCAATTGCAATCTATGTTGCAAGCCATAGGTCGCGATGGCGGCGGCGTCAGGGCTGATTTCAGACTGTGGGCTACTCGACGCAAGTATTTCAAGGGCGTCTGAAAATCTGGAGCGTTAGATCTGAGCTCCGCTGGTATCACCCGATCCATGAGCCGCACCAAGCGTTGTGCCGCGTTGCACAGCCCGAATGGCCGTGAACGCAGTATACTCCTTGCTTCTCTCATCCAGTTCAATCTGCCAAAACGCAAGCTTCAGGTCTACGCTGGAGATGTAGTGCGTCTGATCTATCCTGGAGAGGATTCCTTCTATACTGGGCAGAGGGTACGCATCCTTAATAGTCGAGGCGTTCAACTTCGGGCATCCACGCAGAACCGGTCTTTCCCTGGCTTCGACACCTCTGTTGTGCGATTGCTCCACGGGCTTTTGCTCTCCTCGATAACACCCAGCTCCAACATCTTGTCGATTTCGTCTTCGACCACCTTCTGCTTCACCGGAGACATCGAATACGGACGATCCTTGAAGACACGAGCTCCTTCCGTCAGCTCAATAGAATGCCTCTTCATGCTGGTGACTCCGAGGCCGTCCCTTTAAAAGGTAAGGAACTCCTCCTTGACCTTGCCTAACGCCAGCTTTTCCTCCGCAGAAAGGGTCCAGGATTCGGGTTCCTCCCTTACCTCGTCTTCATCTTCCTGGTCGGCATAGTGCTCCATCTGGCTGGCATGGATTACCTGCGCTGCCTTGACGCCTCTCGTTGCCGGCTTCCCCACGTCGGCTGGAGCTAGTCCGAAGGTCGCCAGAAGTCGACCCCGAAGTACGCAGTTTGGTCCAGGTATGGACACAGGTAGAACGTGACTGGCTTTGTACCTCCCAGGCAGCTCCAAGCGTCCGATGATGGATCGATCCTCACCAGAAGCTGTCCGGACTACCGAAAAATACGGTTGGACGGTATCTTCTAGCGTTTCCACGAGCTCTCGACAGCCTTTGGCGAAGGGTCTAGGATCGGCGGAATCTATGTGTTTAACGGCCGCCACCACCTCTCGTCGTCTGGATCTCCTCATCCTGAAGCACTCCCTTGCCTTCTGGACTCTCCGTGAGACCAGACGCATGCCGCTCAGCTGATGCTCCGCAAAGATCCGGTTCCGTGCCTCCATATAACGGCGAAGCCTCTCATCCTCCGCCAGGTATCTTAACAAATACTTTTGACTATCAGATGGACTATGTACATTCTTTTCTTCTTCTTTCTTCGGAACTACTTCGCGGGATTCCAACCTGGGCGAGTCCCTCCCGCTTTTGGACTACCCAGCCGACCGTTTTCCGCGCAATCGGGACATTTCGGAGAAATCACGCCCAGCTTGCCGCATCGTTGGCCATCGTCCTCGCCGCCGAAGGAGAGGTTCCAGCGGTCCACTCGGATCTAGCGGTTTCCGTTGCCGGCTCCCGCGTTGGCGTACAACCGCGGCTCGTCACGAAAATCCGCCGCCCTTCGGTCCTCGATGCGCCACGGCCGTGCGTGGCGATCACTCCTTCCTGCCGGATGATACTCCGGTTCCTGGCTCAGGCTGCTGTCGATCCCTGGAGAGTCGTTCACCTGCGGTCGAGGTCGCTGCCTGGGTTTCAATTCCGGCGGCCTTCGGTAGCCTCCTCCTGTCTCCTGCCGCTGCTGAACTTCCGCTGGACCATTTGCGCCGCCTTCCGGGCACCACCGGGCGCCGACGGAGTGGGCACCATTGACACTTGGCGAATCGCGCCCTCCTGGAGCGGCTGCGGTTTGCTTTCGGCTGTCCTAAGAACATCGTTCTTCAATTTCATCATGTCCATGAATCCGTTCTTGATTTTCTCCCGCAAGGCCTGGCTCACTCCCAACTCTTGCGATGCCCGATATGTATGGGCCGCTTGTGCCAGAGCTGCGTTCATCGCAGACTCCGCCGCTGTATCCGTGTTCCGTGTTCAGCTTTTGTAGTCCCGTCTGCTCCGGAACCAGAAGTCGATCCTGCGCCTCGACAATTGCCTTGAAATCCAGGACCCTGGGCGACCGATGGTGCTCCAGATCCGCCGGTTGATCCCTAATCCGATCCACCGCACTACCGGCTACCGGCGTTCTGGGTAAACCCCCAGACAGCGATATCCGCGGCAACCCAGCAGCACCCTCTACATCCGTGGACCAGACATCGTCCTTGTCGTCGCCAGGGGGACCCATCGACCTGAGCTGGTGGCCGTGCCTATCGCTGACGTCCTTACCCTCGGACATACTTCCCAAGAATTTTTAAATAAATACTTAATGACTACTAATACTATAATAAATATGATAAATAAATAAATAAATAAGACAACAAATAAATACAAAAATAAATAATATAATAAATATCAAAATAAATACGAAAATAACTAATAGCAAATATCAATAACAATGAACAAATCTTCCTCCCTTCCTATTTTCTTTTCTTTTCCTTACAGCTGGACCTGGGCAGATGGAAGTGACCGTCGCCGGTGGGCTTCCGACCTAACTCGTCTTGCGCTTTCTCCAAAACTCCTATTTTCCGTCACCGCCTAGCCGTTCGTCAACTGGACTAGCTATCACCTGTGGTGATAGCCGCCAGTTAAGGACATCGGCTCGGTTTGGCTCCTGTTGGCTTTTCTTTCCCGCCCTCTTTTTCTATTTTACATCGAGCCAACCGTGCAACGGGTCACGATTACGCAATTAAGTTTACAACCGACATAAAATTAGAAATCCAGGACCCAACATCCTAACAAAAAAACATTTCAAATAAATAAATCACAAAATACAAGCTTACTACTCTATCACAGAAATTATCACAGATTTTCTTCAGTGCATCCCGTGATGCAAATCTTGGTTTGCTCCAAGATGCCATCACCGGTTCACTGGTAAACCTGTGGCCTGGAGCAAATCGTCGGCAATGTCGCCGACCAGCCTCCCGTTCTACTTCCAACTTCCCTACACAGCTGACTTCCCCGTCACCACTCCCTAGCAATTGCAATCTATGTTGCAAGCCATAGGTCGCGATGGCGGCGGCGTCAGGGTCATAAATGGGCGAGACGTCGTCGCCTCGACAATTTATTTTGTTTAAATTGGGCGCCAATATGTTACGAACTGCTTTTTTTTGGTGGCAGTGCCGCTAGCTCAGTCTTTTCTCAAGGCAGAGTACCCCTAATGCCACAGCTCGCAACATAAATATCGATAACTTCACGGTCTCACATTACTAATCGGTTATCACTAATGACAAAAAAAAACGTAATCAAAGCAAAAATCTACAAATATTGACGGGAAAATGGATTACATTTGGTGGCTATCGGTGACCTAGCCAAGCGCTCCCACCCAACCATGGGTGCCCTCGAGGCGCTGCAGGGCACCACCCATTCTCTGTCGGCAGGAGCCCCCTCCTCGCGACTACGACGGTTCCATCTCCCCCACTGGGAAAGCTTACTCACACATTGTGGGTATTACAAAGGTTTAATAAATATCGTAAGTACAATTGTTAATATACATGCTCCTCTTAACAGATCTATCCTTCCTCAGCCTTTAAGACCTAAACCTGGCCGCCGTCTCGGATATTTACGCGGTCAAAGCAGAGGATTTGTTTTGGCTGGAAAAGCGTACAGGCGCCGCGGAAACTATGCTCTACCAGTCATGTATTGGTAGAGCTCGCATGGAAACGCGGCCCTCAAAGGAACATGCGCGATGCGCGTGTGTATGGTCACCTAATTCTGAGGAGCTCAAGGGGAAAAGAAGGGACAGGCCAAAAAGGTACGTAACTGCACTGTAACTAATGCTCGCGACCTTTTTAATTTTAGGCAAACAACGAGGACAAATAAGGCTCTCGAGTCTAACTCCGGATAAATTCACAAACAGGGAAGTAAATATCAATATATATAATCAAGGTACACGTGTATTCAAATTTTCCTAAATTTCAGCCACTGTTGGGCCGGGCCTGGAGGCGATGATAGCCCGGGCTGATGACTTCCAGCCGGAGGCCAGCAGCGATACAGGTCTCCAGGAAAGAAAACTGGCGCTCTCCGGTGAGTTATGCAAGGGCAGTCTGAGGTTCGGCCGCCCGACAAAATGGCGGTACCTCTCAACGCCGCGATGCGACGGCTGGAAGTCCCCGAGATGAGGTGGACGCGGTACACCGGAACGGACTCACCGGGAAATGTTTGATGTCGTCGGCGTCGACTGCGAAGACTGCTTTTCTGGGTGGTCGTCGGTACGGGTCGAACGGCCACCGGTTGCTGGGCAGCCAAGTCGGGCTGGTAGGTATGGCGAAGTCGCGCAAATGTCAGTAGAACTCCAAATAAATATTCCGGGGCCCTTTGTGTTGGGACCCCGGCTGCCTTTATAAATGATAAATATTAAATACCGAACTACTGTATAACTTTAACATAACTCACTATTTAATTTTAAGCACAAAGAAAATTTATAGGATCACTTCTAGCTGCATCTGCCTTGGTTGTTGGACAGTATGGCCGCGACTATCTCGATATCTGCTGATCATCGTTCATACCCCCCGCCATATTACTTGGCCTCTCTCAAAATTGGGTCATTGGATACATGGGTCCATTTAAAGTAATCCCAAAGCGAACCGGGATTAATCTTCAAATGGCCAGATCGCCCGCCAGACTCATCCCGCTGCTGCAGCTATCGCCCTATCGACGTAACCTATCGATAACGTCGCTCCCATTCGACTCCAACTGCAACATTAACCAAAGATTTCGAGAGTCGCTGCCTGGAGTTTCAGCAGAACGATGAAAATAAATGGTAGCTTTGGAGATACGATGGGACTCAACACGGCACTGATACCATCCTGCAGTTCGATCGGCGCCTAACGCGGGGCCCACGCATGACGGGAAGTATTGCAGATGTGATCGCGATGCTCGTATACTTTAATTTCTCCTTTCAGGTCACAACCAGACTGCGGCCTTGGAGGTCCAAGTATGCATTGCTACCGACGGATTTAACCACCCTGGCTTTAATGAACTTGCGAGCAGACTTGGCGTTAAAAGATTTGTTGAAATCACTCAGCACAAAGTTGCGGCGGAAGACTTCTTGGCCTGGCTTGGCGAGCAGCGTACGGGCTCGCTTATCGTAGCGTTGCCGGCTTGTCTGGTATGCACCCTCCAGTTGCTTCTGCACCTTGGCGTGGATAACCCGAAGCTTGTCCTTGGTCTGCATTCCGGCCATTTCATGATCGACCAGAGACCTGAGTCGTCTGGCTAGTTTGTAGCTGGAACCGTTGAGGAACATGTGATGGCCGAATACGGTGAAGAACGGCGCATCTCCTGTGGCTGAGTGGAAAGTGTTTTGGATGATCTTCGTCCAAGAAGCTGCGAATTGCGGCCAAGACGTTCCGGTTTACCCTTTCCGCGGCATTGCTCTGTGGTGAGTATACGGGAGTCCTCATGTGCTGTATACCGAAGCCATCGATCATCTCCTCAAACGCCTTGGATACGAACTGTTTGCCGTTGTCAGAATGTATCGTCTCAGGCACCCCGAACTTGTAAAATACCTCGTTTACCAGGAAATTTACAACGTTCGACGCCGTCGCCTCCTTCATCGCCTTTAAGAAGGTGTACTTGGAGAAGTGGTCCACCACGATGAATATCCAGGCGTGTCGGATACTTGCCCAGGAAATCGATGTACAGTTTCTGGAATGGCCTCCCCGTCTCTACCCTTCTTCCGATTCCGACCTGCATCCGGAAGTTTGGCGCTTTGGATTCCTTGCACACCTCGCGACCCCGGACGTATTCCCGTACCTGGATAGTCATCCCTGGCCAATAGAACTGGGGACGCAGATTCCGTTGGATCTATCCGGACTTCCTCGATGATGCGGGATAGAGTGTCAGCGACTACGTTCTCGCTGCCTTTGCGATGTTCAATGTTGAAATCGTAGCCCTGCAGCTGGAGAGACCACCTTGCGAGTCGTCTGGACAGATCCTTCATTGTCATCAACCACTTAAGGCTGGCGTGATCAGTAATGCATGTGAAGGGCATCCCTTCCACATACGGTCTGAACTTCCAAATGGCTAGGATGGCCGCCAGACACTCCTTTTCCGTAACCGAGTAATTCCCTGGTGTTTGTTCATCTTGGCCGAGAAGAACGCGATGGGCTGCTCGTCTCCGTTCTGGTTCCGCTGAAACAATACCGCGCCGACGCCAACGTGGGATGCGTCGCACTGGATGTAGAAATGCTTCTTGAAATCCGCATGAACCAGGACCGGCGCGCTCGTCAAGGCCAACTTCAGGTCATCCACTGCCTGGGTGGCGCTGGGACTTAAGGAAAACTTTGTGTTTCCAGCCTTCTTCAAGGACTCGGAGAGTGCTGCGGCTAGCGTAGCGAAGTTCTTGACGAACCGTCGATACCATCCCGCTGTGCCGAGGAAGGCACTGGTAAGGCATCTTCTGGATTGCCGAAACACGTCCAGGATCCATCCGCAGCAGTCCACCTCCGACTATAAACCCTAGCTAAGTCAAAGATTTGAAACAAAACTTCGACTTCTTTAACCCTATGGTCAATCCGGCTGATTTCAGACTGTGGGCTACTCGACGCAAGTATTTCAAGTGCGTCTGAAAATCTGGAGCGTTAGATCTGAGCTCCGCTGGTATCACCCGATCCATGAGCCGCACCAAGCGTTGTGCCGCGTTGCACAGCCCGAATGGCCGTGAACGCAGTATACTCCTTGCTTCTCTCATCCAGTTCAATCTGCCAAAACGCAAGCTTCAGGTCTACGCTGGAGATGTAGTGCGTCTGATCTATCCTGGAGAGGATTCCTTCTATACTGGGCAGAGGGTACGCATCCTTAATAGTCGAGGCGTTCAACTTCGGGCATCCACGCAGAACCGGTCTTTCCCTGGCTTCGACACCTCTGTTGTGCGATTGCTCCACGGGCTTTTGCTCTCCTCGATAACACCCAGCTCCAACATCTTGTCGATTTCGTCTTCGACCACCTTCTGCTTCACCGGAGACATCGAATACGGACGATCCTTAAAGACACGAGCTCCTTCCGTCAGCTCAATAGAATGCCTCTTCATGCTGGTGACTCCGAGGCCGTCCCTTTAAAAGGTAAGGAACTCCTCCTTGACCTTGCCTAACGCCAGCTTTTCCTCCGCAGAAAGGGTCCAGGATTCGGGTTCCTCCCTTACCTCGTCTTCATCTTCCTGGTCGGCATAGTGCTCCATCTGGCTGGCATGGATTACCTGCGCTGCCTTGACGCCTCTCGTTGCCGGCTTCCCCACGTCGGCTGGAGCTAGTCCGAAGGTCGCCAGAAGTCGACCCCGAAGTACGCAGTTTGGTCCAGGTATGGACACAGGTAGAACGTGACTGGCTTTGTACCTCCCAGGCAGCTCCAAGCGTCCGATGATGGATCGATCCTCACCAGAAGCTGTCCGGACTACCGAAAAATACGGTTGGACGGTATCTTCTAGCGTTTCCACGAGCTCTCGACAGCCTTTGGCGAAGGGTCTAGGATCGGCGGAATCTATGTGTTTAACGGCCGCCACCACCTCTCGTCGTCTGGATCTCCTCATCCTGAAGCACTCCCTTGCCTTCTGGACTCTCCGTGAGACCAGACGCATGCCGCTCAGCTGATGCTCCGCAAAGATCCGGTTCCGTGCCTCCATATAACGGCGAAGCCTCTCATCCTCCGCCAGGTATCTTAACAAATACTTTTGACTATCAGATGGACTATGTACATTCTTTTCTTCTTCTTTCTTCGGAACTACTTCGCGGGATTCCAACCTGGGCGAGTCCCTCCCGCTTTTGGACTACCCAGCCGACCGTTTTCCGCGCAATCGGGACATTTCGGAGAAATCACGCCCAGCTTGCCGCATCGTTGGCCATCGTCCTCGCCGCCGAAGGAGAGGTTCCAGCGGTCCACTCGGATCTAGCGGTTTCCGTTGCCGGCTCCCGCGTTGGCGTACAACCGCGGCTCGTCACGAAAATCCGCCGCCCTTCGGTCCTCGATGCGCCACGGCCGTGCGTGGCGATCACTCCTTCCTGCCGGATGATACTCCGGTTCCTGGCTCAGGCTGCTGTCGATCCCTGGAGAGTCGTTCACCTGCGGTCGAGGTCGCTGCCTGGGTTTCAATTCCGGCGGCCTTCGGTAGCCTCCTCCTGTCTCCTGCCGCTGCTGAACTTCCGCTGGACCATTTGCGCCGCCTTCCGGGCACGACGGAGTGGGCACCATTGACACTTGGCGAATCGCGCCCTCCTGGAGCGGCTGCGGTTTGCTTTCGGCTGTCCTAAGAACATCGTTCTTCAATTTCATCATGTCCATGAATCCGTTCTTGATTTTCTCCCGCAAGGCCTGGCTCACTCCCAACTCTTGCGATGCCCGATATGTATGGGCCGCTTGTGCCAGAGCTGCGTTCATCGCAGACTCCGCCGCTGTATCCGTGTTCCGTGTTCAGCTTTTGTAGTCCCGTCTGCTCCGGAACCAGAAGTCGATCCTGCGCCTCGACAATTGCCTTGAAATCCAGGACCCTGGGCGACCGATGGTGCTCCAGATCCGCCGGTTGATCCCTAATCCGATCCACCGCACTACCGGCTACCGGCGTTCTGGGTAAACCCCCAGACAGCGATATCCGCGGCAACCCAGCAGCACCCTCTACATCCGTGGACCAGACATCGTCCTTGTCGTCGCCAGGGGGACCCATCGACCTGAGCTGGTGGCCGTGCCTATCGCTGACGTCCTTACCCTCGGACATACTTCCCAAGAATTTTTAAATAAATACTTAATGACTACTAATACTATAATAAATATGATAAATAAATAAATAAATAAGACAACAAATAAATACAAAAATAAATAATATAATAAATATCAAAATAAATACGAAAATAACTAATAGCAAAAATCAATAACAATGAACAAATCTTCCTCCCTTCCTATTTTCTTTTCTTTTCCTTACAGCTGGACCTGGGCAGATGGAAGTGACCGTCGCCGGTGGGCTTCCGACCTAACTCGTCTTGCGCTTTCTCCAAAACTCCTATTTTCCGTCACCGCCTAGCCGTTCGTCAACTGGACTAGCTATCACCTGTGGTGATAGCCGCCAGTTAAGGACATCGGCTCGGTTTGGCTCCTGTTGGCTTTTCTTTCCCGCCCTCTTTTTCTATTTTACATCGAGCCAACCGTGCAACGGGTCACGATTACGCAATTAAGTTTACAACCGACATAAAATTAGAAATCCAGGACCCAACATCCTAACAAAAAAACATTTCAAATAAATAAATCACAAAATACAAGCTTACTACTCTATCACAGAAATTATCACAGATTTTCTTCAGTGCATCCCGTGATGCAAATCTTGGTTTGCTCCAAGATGCCATCACCGGTTCACTGGTAAACCTGTGGCCAGGAGCAAAT